CCCTACGGAGGGAAATTGTAGAGCAACAGCCTTGGGTGGAGCATCACAGGAAAGGACAGCAAGAACTTTCCTGAGCAGCTGCACATGGGAGAACTGAGGAGCAGTTATCCAACCAGGGGGTCTCATGGGTCAATGAAACGATACATACCCTATGCAGACAACATCTTCTTGTATATTTTATAGCATCTATCTACACGGAGCGATTCATGGGTCTCCCGACAAAGGATGATAATCTGGAGCACTATAAAGTAAGAATCTTTGGTGATATCCAGGTCATTAATTTCTTTCAGATGTGCACAATAATTTTAGAGCTGTCATTCAGAGTTTTCACTTTTGCTGGGTCCCCAAAGAAGTATGATGATCTTTTGTTTGCTGCAAAACACCTCACTAGAGAGGAATTTACTCCTTTCGGATTTTATTCTTTCTTTTCCACCCTCCCTCCCACCCCCAACCCCTCCACAGCTTGAGCAGGCATCATTTATGCCTAAGGTCTCACTCATATGTAACATATGACACATAAACTTTCAGTTTTTCAAACCAAGAATCAGATGGAGGTAATGCAAATGATGAAGAAAATGTGTTGCTCTGACTCTTAAATATTTATCAACCAAAGCAATACATAATTTCAGTATTGGTGCTAAGTCCATTGCACAATGATTTAGCTGGTTTTCTATTAGAACTTGCAGCAACTAAAATGTTAATTTTTCCTCTTTTCCAGAATTCAACTGTGATGGCAAGAGCAGAATATTTCAGAAATGTAGACTATCTTCTCATCCACGGAACAGCAGATGGTGAGGTTTAAGCAAGACTCTTACACATAAAAATACTGAGCCAGCATTACTTTGTTTAAGAAACATTAAGCATCCTCCTATGCCTGTGCTCAGGGTCAGTACCTAAGAGTCAGGGGCATTTCCATAAACGAGTGTGATTCCGCACTGCTGACAATGTCAACGGCATGACTAGATAATTGCCGGTGTTCATTTCCAGGCAGTACATTGTCACTCTGCGCTTTCTGGTATTTAACAGCACTTTAACTCTCTCTCTTTGTTGCAGATAATGTGCACTTTCAAAACTCAGCACAGATTGCTAAAGCTCTGGTTAATGCACAAGTGGATTTCCAGGCAATGGTACCTAATTTCCTTTCACTCATGTTCATGGCCTTAGACCCCTAAGCTAAAAGGAAGAATCTTACTTTTAATTCTTAATTGTTTTTTTGTTT